AGGTCTTGGGAGTTACAAACCCGATTTGCAGATGTGTGGCCGTCGGCATATTTGAACAAGAGAGGAGAATGTGGCTGAGTGGATCTTTTTTCTCGGAAGTCATCGATCTCCTTCACCTGTACGCCACCATCAGAAGTCATCGACGGAGTTTCAGAGGTGTTTCCAGTGATCGGTGGTAGTATCGGACGAAGAAGTCAGGTTCAAAGGTGACACTTTAAACATAAGCAGATGTAATTTAAGGGTGAAAGAAGGTGGTAGCAAGTGGTGTAAGGTGGTGATGGTGGTTTGGTTCAATGGTGTTAGTCTGTGAAGGAGGTGTGAGAACAGGGGAGAAGGAAAGTGACGTAATGAGGGGTTGGGATATTTTGTTTTTTTTTCTTTGTTTTTAATTTAAAATTGATAAGGGAATAAAAGAAAATGAAAAAAGAAATTATCAAGGGTAAAAAGGTCATTTCATGTCAATAGGGACTAAGTGTGCAAGAAAAAACAAACAGAGGGACGGTCTGAGTTAATTTTTGAAAATAGGGACTAAACATGCTTTTTGGGATATGCACGAGGGACCAATGGTGTAATTTACCCAAAAAGCAAAGTTGGACTTAATACCAAAATGAGTTTGTATTAGCATGCTTTTAGAATGTCTTAATCTTAGATATTATCAGTTTATTCTAACTTTCGGTATGAACACATACACAGCTTATGAAAATAAACAATTAGCAATAAAATTATGATATGTAAAAAACAAATTGTCATATGAATACGGAACGATTTTTAGTAGTTCATTCTAATTATGCAAATCAAGAATTAAATTTACATATACTTCAGCCCTTCTAGTCTAATTTGAAATAAATTGCATCAAATAGAACCAATGAATATGATTGGGTCAATGAAAAAAAACTTTTAGGTTGTGAGAGCATATCCTCATTCACATAGTAGCTCTAACCATCAAACAATTAGTAGGCTCTCTTTAAAACAATAAAGTTCATATCATAAACAATACAAAAAATGAGTAAAGAAATCAAAAAAGGAATATAAAAATCATCATATTAACTCACGACATGATTTTTTCTCCACATTGTTCAGGGAATCTATGCAAAGGCATTAGTGCTAAATTTTAAACAATAATGATTTTGTTATGTGTAGCCAAGTTATCCACTTGCTCAATGAATGCCACAATAAACAACTTAATAACAACCATCTACACATCATAACGCTAACTTTTTACAATTTAAATCCAAAAACTTTTTTAAAGATTTGCAGAAGTGTAAAGAAAGATTATTATATTTATAGCCTTCATATAAAAAGTAATTTCGATATCAGAAGAGATACAAAACAAACCTGTAAAACCGATGGAACATATTACAAAGTTTGAGATCTTCCATTTATGTCGATCGGGTAGGTTATGTAACTACTGAAGAAGATAATGATAACGGATTTGAAATTATCATGAGAAGAAGATGGTGGTGAAGGGGAAAAGAAGGGTGGATCAGTGCATAGGGTGGCGATAAGTGATGAGTTGAGAAAGGGTTTGGTCGGCGTTTACCTTAGATGCCAAAATTATAGGCTCAAGATTTTCTTCTGGCTATCCCTATAGATGGGCTTGGCCAACACATGTCTCCCGTGGAGTATCGTACTATTCTCAAATATCGACTCATGATTCCCATATTCCCAGCTGACGAGATATGTCATGTATGTCGCAAGGCATGTTTGGACTCTTTTGGAGAGCATGCAGTTCACTGTAAAGAACTCTCGGGGTTCAAATACAGGCACGATATGGTTATGGATGTTTTGTTTGACATATTTCAGCGTGCCGGGGTTTCCGCTAAGAAAGAGGCACCTGTTAATTTCTTGACTGACCCGACAGAAGGAAGGTCAACTCTCAGACCGGCTGACATTTTGATTTTTGGATGGGTCGGAGGGAAACACGCATGTGTGGATCTTACAGGGGTATCCCCTCTCGTGGCCCTGAGGGCTGGGGGTTTCACGGCGGGACATGCTGCTTTGAAAGTAGCTACATGCAAAGTCACCAAACATGAGAAATCGTGCATGGAAAATCAACACGTGTTCATACCATTTGCATTTGATACGTTTGGTTTCCTCGCACCGGATGCGGTAGAGCTTCTTAAAAGAGTACAACGAATCATGTATAGTAATGTTATATCCCCTAGATCTTCGGATGTAGTCTTTAAAAGAATTAGCTTTACCATTCAAAAAGGTTTAGCGGCACAGCTTGTTGCCCGTTTGCCATCTCACTCATTGTACGATGACAATTAAAATTTTATGGAAACCCTTTTTTGATTCTAGGATTTATTATTAGATAATAATTAAATTAGAAAACAAAATTCCAAAATTGCTCCTATATAATGATTGGCTCAGAATTAGCCATACATTCACACAATAATTAAAGGTTA